ACTAAAACCATTAGTATAAAATTATACCATTTGGCTAACTTTTTACTAGAAGTCTGGTAAAATTTTCAATAATTAGAAATAACTTTTCTATAAGCCTAAAAGTAAAAATCCATTATTCGCAACGTTAAAAATAAGGTATTTTTTACCTTTAAGCCTATAAGTAAGTCATTTATAGTGCTCAAAAAATTTACCAGACTTTCAATAAAAAGTAAACCAAATAACATAATTTGATGGCAATAAACTTAGTTTTTATATTATATTTTAACAATTAGTACTTTGGTTTACCATGACATCAGATTCTATGCTATTATATAATTACCCCGATTTTTGATATAGGACTCTCTACTTTATTTGTGGATCACAAATTAAAATATTCTTAAAATATACTTAACAATCACCGGACAAATATATGTTACATGAATTTATTAGTAAAAAAAATTGGTATAACATTATAGTAAAAACTTCGATTATATTAAAAGTCTATAATAATGATATACATGTGACTTTCCAATTGTTACATTAGAATATCATGTGACTTAAAGAACTCGATCATTTGTTTTTTAAAAAAAAATTTTCATCAATAAAAAATGGGTATAATATACGAAGTTTATGCATTATTTTAAGCATTTCTTCAAAATCCTTCTGATTCTAAAGTTATATAAACTCATTGTTTGGTATATTAGACATATTAAAATGTGCTTTTTCAATAAACAAAGTTTTTAAAGTGTAGTTTTTAAAGACTTTTTATCGTAAAGTCAAATTTTTGGTTTTATATATACCCAAAGAGTTAAATGACTAAATTTTATTTGTATTTATAAAATTTATTTCTTTTTTTTTGACATCTTATTATTATTATAATAATGTTTAACTCTCTGACTATCCCATTCAGCTGGTAAATTTATTAAAACATTATTAATTTCTGTTTCAGTTGGCAATGAATATAATGTTTATATTAAATTTTGTTTTAAAAAAAATTTTTTTTTTATCAAGAATTATGTTATTTCTTTTTTAATTGTCAAGTAATCAGCATAATGTCATTTTTATATATTAAATTTGAAAGAAAGAGAAGAAAAAAATTACCTAAATGAAAAATAAATTTTTTCTTTTTTATATTATAACTGTAATTCTTACTGATCCTAAAGATGTAATATGTAATTATTTTTAGAAGGTTGTAAGGTTGCAACTATTACAACATATATACAATACTTTTGTTGTAATTACAATACAATATTATAATTATTATATAGTATTATAATTACTACTAGTATTGTAATTATTATATAGTATTATAATTATTTCCAATTATACAAATATATATTATAATATATTAATCATTTCTTTTTATGATGATATTTGTTTATAAAAACTTATTTTTGTAATTTTTATTTTTTAAAAAGGAAATTTTTGAATAATCATAAATGTTGTATTATTACAACACTTTAATTTTAAAAGTAGTAATAGGTTGCAACCCTTACTATTACAACACAATGTAATAATTATCAATTATATACTATATCTTTAACTGACACTTCTCATATTTTTTTTTATTTTTTTAGTATAATTATTAGATTAACTAAAAAAGATTTTATAAATAATTTAAACTTTTAAAAATACATTTTTTTTTGATATATTAGTACATTATTTTAAAAAAACAGTTTAAATTTTAAGTAAATAAAAACTTCAATTTAATTACTTACAATAGATTTTATAAATTTTACTTATAATTTATTGTTTATATAAAGGTATTTATCTATAATATTTAACTATAATAAATAGATTTTTATTTTTAGATGATTTATAATTAGTAGAATTATATTAAAAAAATATTATATATATTAATATATAAATTTAAATATTAAGTATTTCATTTTTTTTCCAATTATAAATTTCTTTTATCTATAAATTTATTATTTTTTTTCTTTAATGTAAAGAAAAGTCCAAAAATTTTTTGTATATTTACTTTAAGATAGATGTTAATAATAACTAATAAAGATTTTGTCAGATTATTTATATTATTATTTTTAGTAAAAATATAAGTCAGAGTAAAGATGTGATATATAATTATTTTTAGAAAATTGTAAGGATGCAATTATTATAACATTGGGTCCTGTGATCACCAGACATTAAAGATAGGGCCTTTATGGCTAAGATGACCCGTTACTAAATGAAGTCTACCTATGGAGTCAAACGATTACTCGACAATGCACATGTGGGTACTACCGATATGACGAGTAGTTTGTAGTTTAATTATATTAAAGTAGTTATTAGGGAATTTTACTTTGTATATATTTTCTTTATTTTTTTACTTTAATAAAACTGCAAATGCGCTGCGGAAAAAAAAAAAAAAAAAATTATTATAACATACATATGATCCCTTAAATGATAGCTATTGTTCTAAATTCTGCAGAATTTTCAGGATTTCTGCAGAGGATTCCATGGAATTTCATTGTATTACAGTTTAGATCAGCACATGAGTAGTGGTAAATCGCAGCCAAATTTAGCTGCAAAACACTTTAAGGGATAACACTTTTGTTATAATTATAATACAGTATTATAATTATTATATAGTATTATAATTATTACTAGTATTGTAATTATTATATAGTCAGATTATTTTATATTGTCATTTTTAGTAAAAATATAAGTCAGAGTAAAAATGTAATATATAATTATTTTTAGAAAATTGTAAGGTTGCAACTATTACAATATACATACAACATTTTTGTTATAATTATAATACAATATTATAATTATTATATATTAGTATTATAATTATTACTAATATTGTAATTATTATATAGTATTATAATTATTTTCAATTATATAAATATGTATTATAATATATCAATCATTTTTTTTGTGATGATATTTATTCTATAAAAACTTATTTTTGTAAATTTTATTTTTCAAAAAAAAAAAATTAAAAAAAATCATAAGTATTGTAATACAACACTTTAACTTTAAAAGTAATAATAAATTGCAATCCTTACTATTATAATATAAGGTAATAATTATCAATTACATACTACATTTTTAAGCCAGAGATTAATATAAAGTATTTTTAGTATCTGCTCTTATTAAATATATAAAAAGAAATAGATCTTTTTGAAAAACTTTATAGCTGTAAATAATTCTTTTGCTAACAACTTTATTAAAATATTACTATAATCTTACTAATATATTTTTGCAAAGAGAAAAATAATTTTATAAGTAATTAATTAATACTAATCATACTAATTGGTAACAATAATAATAAGGGCAGTGACAGATATTACCTAATATTCTAGGGGGAGGGGGGGTAATTGAAAATCTTAGGTTACATATATACTATATAAGGAAATTACATATATAATATATATTACCTGTCTCTTATACACATCTAGATGTGTATAAGAGACAGGAACATGTGGAGGAGAAAGAAGATGAAACTATTATTACTTCTGATGCATTGAATAGCATTGAAAAATTAATTAGATATGTTCGGCAAAATGATTTGAGTATTGATAATTCAGATATGCAAAATTTGTTTAAATTGAAGAAAAAAATTATTTCGGATAGTAAGAAAAAGCAAAAACAGGATAGAATAGATGGTTTTTTTTAGGTTTTAGTTAATTACAGTGTATAAAATTTCTCAAATAATGTTTTAAATAAAAATAATCAAAATTTTCAATGTTCGTCGTACATGTCACACAAATAAAAACTTGATATAATGGAATTTCATGTGATTTATATATAAAATCCAGTATATCAAAATTTTTTGATATATCAGAAGTCTCAATATACCGGATATTTTTACTGGAACGGATGGTTCCATTATATCAAATTTCACTGTGTATGTTGTAATAATTGCAACTTTACAATTTTCTAAAAATAATTACATATCATATTTTTAAAAATAAGTTACAAAAATTATAATATGATTTAATAATATCTTGACCTACCCTTTTATTTTAACAATTGCATCATATAATTCAAAAAAATTGCCAGTTCTATTTTCTATAACTAAGAAATTTTAAAGGATTTCTCAATTAATTTTTTCTCATTTATATTAATCAGATTCCTAATTTTCTTGTTAGAGAATTTTTTTTAGAGATACATTTGTTTTTACTGCTAAAATTAAATTTTGTTTTCTTTACATTCATTTCTTAGATTGCTGCTAAATTCATCTGAAGTTTATAGCCTATTTTCTTAACTATATATAAAATAATTGATTGAGATAATACAGAAAATCTAAATCATAGACTTAATAGTTGTGTTGCAACTTGAAATTAATAGTAGAACAGTTATTTTNTTTTTTTTGGATATACTAATAATATTTCTTTATTATTCTTATAAATTACTTGATACTAACTAATATTAACTATAATAATATTTACTATATTTATCATGAGATCACGTGAAGGAGTTTATTTTTTTTAAAAATCTTATACCTACTGCATCCTCCAATAATATATATACAACAATTAAAATATCTAAAAAAGATGATATTATGTATATGTATATATAAAATAAGTTTGAAGCATCAAAATATTATACTAAAGCATCGAATTAAATTTTAAAAAATATCCTTAAATTTTTTTTTTGTTAATTATTTTTAAAGTATTTTTTTTTGTTTTTTTTTAAAAAAATAAATCAAAGTAAACTAAATAGAAAAGAAAAAATGTCCGTCAGAGAAAAGAATGATAGCTAAATTAATATGTAATATATAAAAGATACCCGCGACTACGTATTAACAAATTAACCGAATTTCACATACTACATATTTCGTTTTTGATTATTAAATCCCTGACGCAAGAAAAAAGAAAAAAAAAAAAAAAAAAGAAAAATTGTTGACGAAAAGTTGAAATTTCGTTACATATAATACAAAATGACTATTAAAAACGACGTAATTTGGAGATATAAAACAGAAAGTTAAAGTGATAATAATGTAATAAGAGATAAATGTATGTGACTAAGGTGATATTTTTAAGAAATGTCTTTTGTCTTTTGTAATAATAAAGTCCATTGAAAAAAAAAGAAAAAAAAAAAATGTTTTACCTAAAATCTAAACCCATCATTAAAATTCTAAAAAAAAAATTGAACAAATGTTCTGCACTTCATTATTAACTCATTAATCCAATAATTATATTCATATCATATTATATCTACCAACACTTTGTTCTTTGACAATAAAATTAAGAATTTTCTGGTAATGTCTAATTTTTTTAAATTTGGTCCAAGATTGTTCATTGAAATATTGAAATTACAAAGAAACTTTAAAAAATACTAATTGATAAAAGAAGTAATATAGTTTGTGGTAATTCAATTTTTCGTCTTTTTCTTTTCTGGTTCTTCACTCTCATCGCTGTTATCGGAAGGTGCAGGACGTGATTTTGATAACGAACTATTTTCATGCTTTGCTAACGGAGAAGGTTGATGCTGATAATTAGCTCGTGGAGGCCAATGAAAAGCGCCAGGCTGAGCACTTGTAGGAGTGTTACCAAACGTTAAAGGACTAGGTAATTCATTTGTTTTATAGAATTCGGAAAAGAAAGTTGAAGGCGATGGCAAATTCTGCGCGAATTGTGATGGTAATGCTGAAGTAGGACCTGGCTCAGCGGTCGCGGGAGTTGGACGATTTGATGTCATCTTTTTTTTTCCAATTCAAATCAATATATGCACACATATATCAAATTTAAAAAATATAATGTTAATGATATTGTAATATAAAAAAAATTTATTGAAATCATAAATTAATTATACTTACGGGCTGTGTAACCATGGGCTGTTGTGAATCTGAAGGTGCCTCATCCTGATCTGGAGACTGATCTTGTTGCTGAGAAGGTTGAGATTGTTGATTTGCAGCCTGTCCGGATGGTTTATCTTTAGCTTCTGGAATATGAACACGAAGTTTTGGCTTCTTTGGAGAAGGTGATATAAGAGGCGGTGATACTAAATCTCCTGGTGGTGTATCAATTTGGGGAGATGAAATTGGTAAGGAAGCGGCAGCGGTCGTAGTTATCGTCATTTGTTGTTGAGGAGGAGAAATTGATGTAGGAACATTATTCATTGGAGGAACGGATTGAGGAACTTGCATAGGAACAGAAGTCATTGGAAGTGACATTTGATGCATAGCTTGAGTTACTTGTGGATTATAATATTGTGTGGGCTAAAAAAAAAAAATGTTGAGGAAAAAAAAAACAAATTTAGTACGAATGAAAAAAACGTGAAATTAATAAAATGATCATATAGGGTTACGTACCATATATTGTTGTTGAGGTTGTGCGTACATTGAGTAATTATTGATGGAATAAGGAGTAGAAACCTGTGATTGTGCATACTGTCGTGTGATTGTGGAAAAGATATATTATAACGCTTTAATATCAAAACTCACATATAATTTAATATTATGACAGACTAAAAACATAAGATTTGCCGTAGCAAATATTTGCAAACAAACCTTGACATCACTTGTAGTATCAAATCCTGGAGGTGGATTATCATCATCATCATGGTCTGCTGTATTTGCAAACTAAAATAAAAAAAATACTTGTCATTATGGATATAAAGATGAAAAGAATTTGACAAAAAAAATAGGAGATACCTACATCATGATTACCTTTACTTTCATGAGGCTCACTGTACTATATGAAGAAGAAATATTTTTTCGAATAAGCCTTGATTGAAAATATAATGGCGCAGCAAATTATAAAGCACGTAAAGAAAAAAAAAATTTGTTTAATTTTTTTTACCTCGGTATATTTTAACAATATTTTATCAATATCGGTACTCGCATATTGCACGAGTTTATTATTTGAATTAAAGATGATTAAAGCAATCTCGCAATCACATAATACACTGAGTTCATAGGCCTTTTTCATTAGACCATACTTGCGTTTTAAAAAAGTCACCTGATAACGAAAAAACGAATTAACGAGATTAAGATAAAATTCAACGAGAAATAAATGAATATACCGATGACACCATAATTCAATAAATTATCCTTACTTGTCTGTTTCTTTCGTCTTTGATTGGTTTTATCTGAATTTTCTTACGACCCATTTTTTCGTTATTATATAAAAACTGGGGAAGTTTGGGGGAAATTTGAAAAAAAAAAGAAATTAATATTTAACGTTTCATGAAAAAAGAATTAAATAAAGAAACTATTTAACGGATAAAAAATTGGAATAAAAAGAGAAGAAAACTCGAAAATTTGATAAGAAAAATGAGATATTTTCAAGAGGTTTCATAATGTAAGAAAGAAAAAAAATAAAAATTTGAAAATGTAAAGAAAATATTTAAAAGTAAAGAAAAGAAAGAAAAAGAATAATGGAGGTTGAACAAAGCAACCAACAAAATTTTTCTTTTAAAAAAAATACTCACTTTTTAGTAGAAACAGGAGGAAGGAAAAAAAATAATTTTTTTTTACTATGAAAATTTAGTAGGTCGAATTAGTTGGACGCGTTTGTGTGAGTTTATTCCTGGTTGTTCTTTTTTTAAAACACACTTCTATTATAAACTTGATAGATTTTTTTAAAGGATGAAAAAAAAGAAATGTCAGAGATATTTAGGTAAGAATAGTTCAAAAGAGATAAAAATATCAACAAGTGTGAAAAAATGTTGTGAGTGGGTAACACTTGAGATAGACAAGTTGGGGGCACTCTATTTATGAATATTGTACAATAAGCTAACTATAGATTGTAAGTATATATATATATAAATTTATAAAGATAGAATTTCGGGGACCATTTTTATATTACGTATATAAAAAGTGAGAAAAGGGGGGGGGTGAGGGGAAGAAAAGGGAGGAGATGATCTACAAGATTCCACAATTACACAAAATATGCACAAAGGTACAAATTATTTTATCTGTGCATGAATAATTTCGAAAATTTCCGGAAATTTAGAGAGGGCTAAACAAGTTTGGGTACGAGAATTAAATTCACTTTAGAGGAAATTGCACAAAAAAGTAAGTTAAATCTGGGAGCGTTTTGAGTTGGTGACCTGGTGAACCTTTTGCAATCCAAAGCGGTTTTTCCCTTTTTCCCTTTTATACAAATAAGGCGTTTATATAAACTATAAATATGTATATAATAAACTATAATTAGGGTGTTTTATTTATACTTGTGATTGTGTAATCTGTGTAATGTAAAGATTGGTCATATGATACACATGATACACATGACGGCATGACGGAACAACGGGGACATCGAAACACATTTTAAATTTAATTTCCAAATATGGGTTTTCCGCAGTCAATTCAGTTTATTCAGTTTCAATTCAAATCAATTCGGAGATCATAATTATTATAATTTTACATACATACAAAGAAAAAAAAAGAAATAAATTTTATGCATCATCTAAAATGTTTTAAAAAAATGTTTTTGTTTTTATTTAAAACTATTTGGAAATATTTCAAATAAATAATGACAATAAATCCGGTATCAAATAATAATAATAATAAAAAATAAATAAATAATTAAATAATACTGCAAGATTCCCTCCACAAAAAAAAAAAA